TTCCCCATGTAAGCTATTTAATATCTGATTAATTCTGATCATTAAATGTGTATCTTGAACACTCTAAATGGAAGCCATCATTCTTAGTTTAACACTACTATCACAATACTTGACCTAAATTTTAAAATAAAAATTAGCATTTTTTTCTTGGCAAATAAACTACAACTTTGTCAGAAATTACTGCCTAAATGTGTATTAATGTATTAGCCGTATTCTTTAAGGTGAAGTTACTTTGGTATTTATTTATAGAAAGTGAGAAAAAACAAAGTGGCACATTAGAGATAGAATTTAGGATTAGGTTAGTTTTAAAGAGTTCTGTTGTAATAGATGGGTTCTAGCACATCCCGCCATAAACACCCTGGAGGAGATCACTTAGGTGTAACCAGGCCAACATCTGATGATGGACATTTTGGTCTAAAATTGACAACGTGAATCCATTTTAGGGCTAGTACCATGTGGCATTTGGACTGGTGGGAAGAAGGAAAAGTTAAACTATATAATTCATAAAACATTGTATGATGTTTAAAGACAAGGTTGCATTGTTTACAGTATTAAATAGTTTCCCTGAACATGGATGGATGGGTCAAAACATTTTACTGGATTATGGAATGTCAACCCAGAATTTGTTTTGATTCTTGGATGTATATAATAATGCCAACTAACTTTATTTACTTTCTTGTTTACATGCCGAGGCTTTTGTTTTTAAAAATTATTTTTTGTTAAAAAAAATTCCAATAAAGATTTATTGCTGGTATGCTTTTTTTCCCCCTTTTACTCTGTTTTTGCCTTCTGCTAAAGATCTTTATGCATATCTAGTAGTTTTTTAAAATAATGATTTTTATTATTTTTCTGGAAGGAAAATCAAGTAATTTTGCTTCTTAAATTTTAACAAATGTCTTTTTTAAGAATTAGCAGTTGGCACAGGATTGATGTTTGTGAATGGAGCAAGTCTTAAGCATTGGTTTCACATGAAATTCATCTGATGATTCCTTTTCTAGAACTTCCAGGGGATAAACATTTTTAAGTATTATTATTTTTATGCAAATAAGCCTTCATGATTTCTTTATTTTCTGTCAAACATGGATACTACAGAAGGATGGATACTACAGAAGGCTTTGGGACCCAAGGTAGAGAGAAGAGCCCTTCTGATTTGGCTGTATTTATGAAATGCTCTTGTAGCAATTTTCACAATCGTTATAAAATTATGTTACACTATCCTTTACTAAAAATGAAACTCTCAGCTCTTAAGATTAGGAATCAAAGATTCTTATACGAGTTTAATGAAAATAGAGTTGATCTTTCAACAGTTTGCGGGTGTTAGGGGCAGTGACCCCATGCAGTCACAAATCTGCCTGTAACTTTTGACTTCCCCAAAACTTTAAAAAAAAATTTTTTTTTAATGTTTTATTTCTGAGAGAGAGAGAGAGAGAGAGAGAGCGTGAACAGGGGAGGGTCAGAGAGAGAGGGAGACACAGAATCTGAAACAGGCTCCAGGCTCTGAGCGGTCAGCACAGAGCCCGACGCGGGGCTCAAACCCACGAACCATGTGATCATGACCTGAGCCGAAGTTGGACGCTTAACCGACTGAGCCACTCAGATGCCCCAACTTCCCCAAAACTTTACTGTAGTGTACTGTTTACAGAAGCCTTACCAGTAACATAACAAAGCAATTAACACACATTTTATATGTTAACTGTGTTATATATTGTATCCTACTATAAAGTAAGTTAGGGACAATACAGTGTTAAAATCAGAAGATACATTTATGGTACTGTACTATATTGAAAAGAATCCACATGAATATGTGGATCTGCACAGGGTAAACCCATCTTGTTCAGTGGTCAACTGCATTTTTTTTTTTTTTTTAAAAACTACTTTCCCTAATTTCTCTTTCTGGTGAAAAGATTAACAACCCTATTCAGACAAGAGGTTGCCGAGAGAGAGTGGAAAAGTACAGCAGTACCTCTTTTACCAAGAAGGATGCAGTCCAATGTCACATTCTATTGGGATGTAAAAGTCATGGGTGGACGAGATCTCAGAATACCAGAGAAGTAGAATGTACCTAGAATACATAAAGTGATCATTTGTCAGGTGACTGTGTTGAATAGACTGTATTCTGTGCTCAGAGAGGAGTACCTGGCTAAGGCTAGGGCCAGTGGAAAGGGGCTCAAGATCATGACCCTCTAGACAGAGGGAATCTGGCAGCCTTGAGATTTATTCAACCTGCACAGTGATGTATATTTTATTATTTGCAGTTGATTGCCTTTAGGGGAAAACTGCACTCTCCCCTTAGCCACAAGTTCATTCCTTACTACCCAGTAGCCACACTGATCCCTGTGGGCCCAATTAAATATGTGCTCCTATTTTAGATACTCCCATGTTAAAACTAGGTTTGTGAACAGGTCTGAAAAGAGGCCTGTAATGACTTTCTCCTTTGATTACCATTATTCTGCAAGAATGTTTTTTTTTCAGCTGCATAAAAACAGATCAACTTTCAAATTTTCTCTCTGTAGAAATGAAGCCCCATAAAGGTACGTAACACCATTTTCTAAACTTAGTTCCTTTAAGAATCAAATGGATTGAATAACTTAGAGGAAGGCTGATGATTGTGAAGTCTGATTTAAGGCACTCTAATTGTTGGGACACCGCACAACACACACTCACCTTTCTCCGCACCCCTAGCTCCTCCAGAAGTTGACAGCAAGTGTACAGAGACACACTGCTCCCTTCTACAAAACACTGAAAATATTTTGTCACTAGATCAATCTTTCCGCCATTAGAGATGGAAGGGTGAGTGGATGAATGTCAACCATCTCTGTGAGATAAAATTGAATATGCCACTTGGTATAAGGGACAGATCTTTCCATTTTAATTAACTGTACTGAATTCCTAAAGATTTACCACTGAAGGGTTCACAAGAACATAAGATGGAAAGACCATTACTAAAGTCAACTTTTGCCATTTATTCCCAGAAGTATGAACACATAGGTAACTGCATAGCAAATTACATTTGTCTTTTAATTGCAGTTTAGGATTCTAAATAATATTAACCATTTTCTATTTTTAAAAAAGGTCTATATTAAAATATCTCAATGTAGTTAGAAGAGTCTCAAAAACTTAATACAAATAAGTTAATAGTAAATACTAATGCATTTATAACTAACATGAATAACTACAGATTTGCTATTTTGATATTAAGTATTGATTCAAAATAATTCCTTTTAGGGAGAAAAATTATTTCCCAATGCTAGCTGCATCTAAACCTTAATGACTTTATGGATGAATGTCTGATATTATGATCATATATATATGTGATGACGATATAAGCATATATACATGCTTATTTTTGTTATATACAGATTAAACATTCCCAGATTTGTATTTAAAGTGCAAAAAAGTCACTATTCTAGATATGTATTGCATTACATTTTTTCTATTTGCAACTTTCAGACATGCATATATGTATTTTTGTGTATGTATGTAGTATATATATATGCATGTGTATACATCTTATTCCTGCCTTTTGCAAACTAAAGAATCCCTTCCAAATTAACATATGTGGTAAGCAGGTGAATTATACAGAGAAGAACTTACATAATAACTACATGGCTCAGTAATATGGAATTTACTCTTGAAAAATAAGTCTTTGTATATTTTGTTCAACACCTCTTGGGTGCTAGATGTGTACTTAAGCATAGATGATTAAGCCACTGAAAACTATCTCTTTTTGTTACTATATCAAAGTTTCTAGCCATCCAATTAATTAATGGTGATTATGTGTGCCTAAATATATTATCTTTAGAGATTATGACCTATATAATGCCTGATCTTTATTAATATCACTAAAAGCAGAAGACTGGACTGCGTAATTTATTTAGTAAGCATTCTAAATCAATATAAAATTTGGTCTGTTTCTATTTTTGTTATATAAAAGAAACATTGCCAGCAGAGTTATATTCTAAATGCAAAAAAAAATCACTTAGATAATTATGTTACAGTTTGCGTCTACTTGCAAGTTTCAAAGAAGTGCATTTTTATAAATTAAATATGTTCTATAGATATAAATCCCTAAATTGAAATACTCAGTATGTCAAGCTTTTTCATCAATAACAAATCATATTCTAACCGATTAAACCAAAGTGGTAGTCTTTTTTGATAGGATCCTGACGATTTTCTGGGTTGTGAGACTTAAATAATGTTATTAAGTTAGGCACCCTTCAAGTTTGTAGCGATCGTTAATAGCACACTCCTAAATTGGTAACAGCACAACAGCACCTCACATGCCACTGCAAGCACACACTTTCCTAGGCATTGGAGAAACAAGAGCAAACAAGCCAGACATCATTCCTGCACTGTTGCAGCTTACAAAATAGTGGTTTGGGTTCAGAATCCATAAAGCACATTTTCTGTAAATAAACATCAAAACAGCTAAATCTCTGGGAAGAATAAAAAGATCAAAAGCGTCGCTTCTGATTAAGATTTATGCCTAAATGCACTAATAAAATTCTAAGGCACCCCTGTCTCTCAAATGCAAACAATCTAGTTCAAACAAACTATTAGAGCTGATGATAAACAAAGCATTGGTTACAATTTTCTCTTTGTATCTTCTATGGTGATATTCTTTAATTAGCATTATGACTGAAATACTAAAAAACTAACAAATAGCCTTGGGAAATGGAATCTTTAAAAGACCCATGTGTACACTCTTTGTGTGTGTGTGTGTGTGTGTGTGTGTGTAGAGGAAGAGAGAAAGACTGAAAATGATTACTGTTTTATTCCTGTTGGTATCTTTGGCTTCAAAATGTGCAGTTTGGCTTCTGAGAATATCTTAAAATAAGTCAGCAATATTTAAAATGTATTATTTTTTTAAAGTAGAAAAGCTTCTGCAAAAGTTGTTAATATAAAATGATTTTTTGAAGCCAAATAACTAATTTCTATTTTTGTTGGGGAAGAGAAAGGAAAGAAAAATAGAAAACTTGGATGTTACACTATAGTAAAGTTTATCTGCATTCAAGATGCTCCTTAGAAATAGTAAATAAACTCTGATTCAGACTTGTTTTCACCCGTTTTTCTCTCTGCCTTCTATTGCAAAACCAAACTCTTACTACTTCTTTCTCAAGATTCAGTTCTTCAGCCATTCGCATGATCTCTTGAGAGGAAGGTTTATTCTGTTCTCCAAAGTGTCTCTCCAGTGCATCTTTAGCAGCGATACTGAGTGGGAAGGGGTATAGAGAAGGGTGAGATCAAGGTATTTTAATGATGTTTTTTGGCAGGTCAAAATTCAGTAATGTTGAATTTCATAAATATCAAAATGAAAATATTTAAAGACTCTGAAAACACTTCTAAAGCTTTGACAAAGGTAAGTGTGCAGGCTGTAGAACAATTAGATGCTTGTGTTACGCAGGATACCCTAAGCACCGTCACAGGAAGAAATCAGGGAATCTAGACTTTCTATGGTTTATCCTCCTTTGTGCCACTAGAGGGCACTGACTTCCTGAAAAGGAAATGAACACTTGTGTAGGCATTTTCTAAATGTCCCTTAGGTGACATTACAATAGGTGAAATGTTTAGTGAATAACTCATTGACCAAAACAAAAACATATATTTTAGCATTTCCTCTGTAATTTCCACACAAATTACTAAAAAGTCAGCCAACAATCTTTCTAGCTTGAAATGCAAGGAATCACATTGGACTTGAAGAGACTGAAATACTGATCTCTACTTTTGCTATTTTTAATAACATAGATAGCATATTGCCAGAGCACGACATATCTAACACGACAGCAGAAATAATCAGTCTTTGTATAAGTAATTGTTTAATATCCTGTTTTATCCAAAAACTTGTGGATCAAGTGTTCTTAAATCAAATAGCATACTTTTCCATCAAATGTTAAAAAATTACTAGCTCTGGATCATTAAACTATGCTTTTCCACCAATCTTGTTTTTTCAACTGACTCTATGCACCACACATTTGTGTTATGTTGCACCTATATTATTATCCTCATTCTCTTCCATATATATATATATAATTTCCTCTATGTCTTGTAATATCTCAAAAGAATACCTTATAGTTGTTCTTCGCTTCCTTTTCCTTTCATTTGCTCCCACTTTTTCATTGTATAAAGCTGTAAAGAGTAGAGAAACAATTACAAAAACAAAGTAGGTTTTAAAAAACTGTCAGATTTGAGTTTCAAATTTTCTTTATAAAACAATGCAAAATAAAGTCGCTATACATTTTTACAGTTTTGCGTTCTATATTATTTTGTAGTACAAGACCCAACACAAAAATGTTAATGCAGAAATATTAGCTTTACAAAGACAATTGTCTATAATGATGCTCCTACCATACTTTTCTTGGAACACTTTATTGTGTTCCACTATCCAGCGTTAACAGTAGTATGAATAGGTAATCTCATTACATTAGCCATTGCTCATGTACTGGTTTGGAAGACTGTGGATGCTCTGCCTACAGTAATATTAAGTTATAAAATTCTTGTACAAGCACTATGGTATAGCACAGCGCCAAAAAACCTGGATGTGTTAAAAAATCATGCTACCCTCAAGCCTGTGCCACATCATCCAGAAACCTGTCCTACAGCTTATCTTCTCACTCTGTTTACCTTCTCGGTAAAGTGCTTTATACACTTACATCACCCCTCCATTTTTTAGTAGTAGGAAACATTTATTTTTCATCTGAAGGAGAGAAAACGAAACTAAACCTCAAAACTCTCCACGTGAGCATTACTCCTACCATTGTTTCTAGGTTACAACGTCACAGAGCCTTCAGAGGTCTAACTTCAGTACCTCCAACTTGCTCTGCTTCCTCCAGCCATTTCGATAATATTGCTTTTAGTTTGCAGGCATTTTTAAAGCTGAGCTGCAGGTTTTCAAATCGGCAGATAGTCGTTTGACTGAATTCGGAGCCATGCACTGCTGCCAGGGCTTCCCCAACGTTGGTTTGGGTGTATCCTGTGAAAGGGCAGCAAAGACCCGTTAGCTCCAGCTAGTCAGGAAGCATCCACTTCAGCCCTTTATCACATAAATCTTTGGTCTTTCTTTCTTAACTGTTAAATATTGCTCTTTTTTTTTTAATATTTATTTTTGAGAGAGGGACAGAGTGAAGAGAGAGAGACATGAGTAGGGGAGGTGCAGAGAGAGAGGGAGACACAGAATCTGAAGCAGGCTACAGGCTCTGAACTCACAGCACAGCCCAATGTGTGGCTCGAATTCACGAATCCTGAGATCATGACCTGAGCTGAAGTCGGACGCTCAACCAACTGAGCCACCCAGGGGCCCCTTAAATATTGCTTTAAGCATATATGGATTGGCAATTTAGAACTGTTTTGTAAGTTCCAGGGGCGCCTGGGTGGCTTAGTCGGTTAAGCGTCCGACTTTCGCTTAGGTCACGATCTCGCGGTTCGTGGGTTCAGGCCCCACGTCGGGCTTTGTGCTGACTGCCAGCTCAGAGCCTGGAGCCTGGAGCCTGGAGCCTGTTTCAGTCTGTGACTCCCTCTCTCTCTGACCCTCCCCTGCTCACGCTCTCTCTCTCTCTCTCTCAAAAAAAAAAAAATTTAAAAAAAATAAAAAAAAAAACTGTTTAGTAAGTTCCATGTAGAATTGTTCAGTACTTCAAAAAATACTCTTAATTTTTTTCTAGAAGGCAAAAGAATTTAAATAGGAATGTCTGCCATTCACAGTATTTAGTGAAATTGGATAGATGTGTCAGAAACATTTTATAAGACACTAAAAATGTTTTGCTGTCTTTGTTAAATAGCTGATGCTATCTGCTCAAAAATACAGTATATTAAATATGCATAAAATAGAAGATATATCACAAGTATTTTTATCTCACTGTAAAATTTTCAACTATATTGTTAAAGGGTACCAAGTAAAACTAAGAATTATGCTTACTTTCCCTAAAAATATGTTTGTTACAAGACTGTGATCACCCAATATTTTACGTCTATCTTTGAGCACATTTATTATAGCATTTGGTAATGCTTCAGGCCAAAGATCCTCATTGATTGTTTCAAAACATTTTTAGAGTACAAGTTGATATCAACTATCAGTATTGAATTTGAAATATTCACAGCAATATAAATAGCGCACTGAAAATGGTTGTTGTAAAGATGCCTATTGCTGTGTTTATCATATATAGTCACTGCATATTAGTTCAGGGCCTATAGCTACATATCTGTATGCATAAAATGGTTACATACAATGCCCATCAATAAATACCATTACAGAATTACCTGCAGTTCATTCCACAGGTGCAGAGGGTGGAAATGTCATGTTCAATACACTTAAAAGATACACTACTTCATGAATTTAAATCAAGGTTTATTTTTATAGTTATTTTATGTGAAAAACACTATTGAATAGAAAGTGTGCAAAGGCTATGGACAGACAATTCACAGAGGAAGAATTCCAAATGACTACAAAACACATTTTCAATCTTCACTCCAATTTAAAATGAAATTACCATGAGACACCACTTTGACCTATCTAATTTACCTGATTTGCAAAGATCCAAAAAATTAAACCTTTTTTTTCTTTCAACAATTTTATTCTGTTTGCTGTCAGTCACTGTTCTAAGTGCTGAGGATATGCTCTTAAGGAAAAATAAAAATAAACAAAAAACCCCTGCCTTCATAAGGATTATATTCTGAGGTGTTTACTAAGAGATACGGTGGCAGTAAAATTTAGTACAACCTCTATACAGATCAATTTGGCAACAGCTATCAAAATTACAAATACACATGCACTTTTATTAAGAAATTGTGCTTTTTTAAATTTTTTACAAATAGTTTATTGTCAAATTGGTTTCCATATAACACCCAGTGCTCATCCCCACAAGCGCCCTCCTCCGTGCCCATCCTCTCCACCCCCCCCCCAACCATCAGTCCTCAGTTTTTGTCAGCATTCAAGAGTCTCTCATGGTTTACCTCTTTCCCTTTTCCCCACCATTTCCCCCCTTCTTCTCCCCCATGGTCCTCAGTTAAGTTCCTCCTAATCCTCCTATACGTGCAAACATATGATATTTGTCCTTCTCTGCCTGAAGAAATTGTGCTTTTAACACTTGGCCTACATATAAATTTATATAGGTACAAAATGGCATTTATGAAGTGAATCATCATAGGAATTTTTAAAGTTTATTTATTTAGAGAGAGAGATTGAGTATACAAGCAGGAGAGGAGCAGAGAGCGAGCGAGAATCGCAAACAGGCTCTGCACTGTCAGCATGGGGCCCAAACTGGGGCTCAAACTCATGAACCATGAGATCATGACCAGAGCCAAAATCAAGAGTCAGATGCTCAACCAAAATAGCCACCCCAGTGCCCCTGTAGGACTGTTTTTAACAATGTAAGATTGGAGACAACCTGAATTTACCATCAATGGGGGACTAGTTAAATAATATATTCATGAAATGAAATAAATTCATGAAATAATTTGATAAATAAAATTAGATTAAAAAACTAATATTAGGAAAACTCTCTAAACAGTTAAAAAAAAAATCTGGGACACCTGGGTGGCTCAGTTGCTTGACCATTTGACTCTTGATTTTGGTTCAGGTCATGATCTCATGGCTTGTGGGTTTGAGCCCCATATCAGACTCTGTGCTGATCATGGAGCCTGCTTGGGAATCTTTGTCTCCCTCTCTGGTTCCCACTCCTCAAAATAAATAAATATTTAAAAACAAAACTTTGAAAAAATTGATATGAAAAAAACTGTTTAGTTGCTTATATATACATAGAGTATCTCTGGAAAGATGCAAAAAAAAAAACAGATAAACAGGAAAGACAAACAGAAAAAATATATTTCATTTACACCCTTTATGCCGTTAAATCATATGAATGGCTTATGTATTCATAAGTTCAAATAAAATAGAAAGCACAAGTACAAGACTGATCTTGAGGTCGGTAAGTGGAAAAAACACCATTAATTTAAAAACCTATATATTTAGGATATTAAGAATTAACAAGGAAAGAAAGGTTTTTGTAGGATTTCCATAATTGGAGTAACTTAAATCCACATCAGAGATGTAGAATGAGAACTGTCTTGGACTTCTGAGTAGAATATAAGAGATTGAACAGTAATATAGTAAGGAACTGCAGACCAAGTTGTATGCCCATTACTCCTAAAAAGTGCATACCTAACTTAATTCTTCTCACTTTAAATTCATTAGCAAACTTCTCAAGTTCTCGGATTTCTGGAGAATCCATGTCTATCGGCTCTTCAACCAATTTACTTTTCCGCCTGAGTTCCTGCTTGAAATCAGCGACGGTTGGGTCTTCTGCCAAGAGAGGCTGGTGCATGGGAGGAAAGCCATGACTCAAGGTATGGTCAGGAAACTTGTAAAGACAAGGCGTTAAGCTACCTGTGAATAAACAAAGGAAAGGGATTTGTAATCATCCATCATTTCTAGACAAGCAAAAGTTTTGCACCTTTGAATCCGTTATTTCCCTATAGCTGTCAAAATTAAAAATTGTGTTTTCATGTTTATTTATTTTGAGAAAGAGAGAGAGAATGCAGGAGAGGGGCAAAGGGAGAGGGAGAGAGAGATTCCAACCAGGCTCTATGCTGTCAGGTCAGAGCCCAACATGAGGCTTGATCTCACAAACTATGAGATCATGACCTGGGCCAAAATCAAGAGTTGGATGCTTAACTGACTGAGCCAACCCGGCAACCCTAGCTGTCACAATTCTAAAAGGCCAGGTGACATTCAGCCTTCTAAAAGAGCAGTCAGAGTAGCTTAGTATAAATGAAATCATTTCTTTTCCACCTTCCCCAGAGCAGCAAAAACCAAAATAATACCAAAGGAAAACAGCAGGGAATTGCAGAAAATTGAAATAGAAATAAACAAATTCTCTCAGAAGTATGTTTTCCATTATTTCATTTTTCTCTTACAAGACACCTGTTCCTGTGAATCTGATGTTCAACTAAAACTGGAATGTAGAGTTCGATCTCTGTTTTCTTAATTCATCACACAAATAATCTGTGATGTTTATTATAAGCGAGGCATACGGTTAAAGTGCTGTGCTGGGAAGTTTTCTTAGGATTAGAAAATTAATTTTACAATATTAAGAAGCTCCACTGTTTTATCAGTCAATGTTTAATTTCAAGGAAAAGTAATCATGTCTTTTTTTTTTAATTTAACAAAAGCAGGTGAAAAGAAAATTATGAGAACATGAAATAATATGGTTAAATAGATTCAAGGAGTGAAAGGAGAAAAGGTAACTTCTAAAGTTCTATTAAAAAGCATCAAGATTTCTTGAAATATATGCAATATAATGGAATTGTTTCTTGATTATTATTTAAGAAGCAAAAAATAATGACAAGGAAGGGTGCAGTTCTAGATATGATAGGCAATCACCTATAAATGATGTAGCGTTAGATCAGTTGATTGGGTTAAGCATTAAATCACAAAAATACTAAAAAATCTAATTTTTTAAAAGCTGCTTCCAGGTTTCATTCTTTACTAGGAAAGAAGAGTCAGTCTCCGTTGGGGAGCACGGGTGGGTGACAAGACAGCATGAGCCACGTTTCCACACGTTTTATTTCTGTTTTATTGGTAGAGATTTCACTTCAATTTACAGTAAATGACACTTGTATAACCAAGACATTTTGATACAAATAAAATACTTGGTAATTCATCACTTTTCTTAGGAGTATAAATAAATATTTAAACTAAAAATAAATTACCATGGATTATATACAATAATCATTCTTGGAAACACTGAAAAAATATATCAAGTTTATGCTACCTATTATTTCTTTGTAAATACATTCACAAATCAAAGACATGAGTAATAATGTAATTTTCCAGAATATATAAATCTTATATTAATATATCAATATGTAATGATCAGAGAATAGCGTAAGTCAGCAAATGATTGGCTTGTATTATTTATATGACAATATGTAATTATAAAGAATGCCCCTTTCCAGTAGACTGTGTTCTTTTTGGAAACAAAGTAATATACAAGTGAGGAGTTAAACAAAAATAGCATAAAATAAATTTAGCTGCTGTGAAAAATATTTGAAAGAAACTATTCCCGTCTAAAACAATTTACACTTCTTTTACAAACCAAAATTGCCCAGTTTACTTTTTAAAGTCAGTCAGTTGTCCACTCTATGCTTTAATAGGTGTTATATTGATCAGACAAGATAAAATTTTCAAAAGCAGTTCTATCAACTTTTAGTTTATTACATAGTTCATATTTTAAATGTTTATTAATTTCTTTTTTAATGTTTATTTTTGAGAGAAGGAGAGAGAGAGAGCGTGAGCAGGGGAGGAGCAGAGAGGTAGGGAAACACAGAACCTGAAGCAGGCTCCAGGGTCTGAGCTGTCAGAGCTCAACATGCGGTTTGAACTCATGCAACAAGAGATTATGACCTGAGTTGAAGTCAGACACTCAACTGACTGAGCCACCCAGGCACCCCAGTGTTTACTAATTTCTATTTAGCTTTCTATTAGCTTTGGATTTCTCCTAGTTGAAGTAAAAGAAAATACATAAAAAGAAACTGATCATGTTTACTTTAGGATTTACTTAATATCTCAAGTAATACAAATCAGGTGATACAAAATCTCAAGACGTTGCTTCCACTTAGGGTTTAAGGGTTGGTTCTCAAATATATAAAAAGAATCTTCACTTCCTTTATCATTCAAAAACACCAACTCAAGACACTTAATGATGAAGTGCTATAAAAGCAAAAGCAGTGAGAAAAAAATAGGCTGCTGAGTTTTTACTATCTCTTACCTGTATCTCCTACTCATCTTCACCTATTTTGCCTATTTCTCTACCCCCCCCCCTTTCCTCTGGCAACCATCAGTTTGCTCTTTGTATTTATGGGTTTGTTACTGCTTTGTTTGTTGATTTATTTTGTTTTTAGATGCCACATGTTAAGTGAACTCATTTGGTATTTGTCTTTCTCTGACTTATTTCACTTAGCATAATACCCTCTAGTTCCCATGTTGTTACAAATGGCCATCTCATTCTTTTTTTAAGGCAGAGTAATATCCTACTGTGTGTGAGTGTGTGTGTGTATATATGCATGCATGCAGTCTACTCTGTGATTTTACACATTTAGTGGATTTTAAAGCACTTCAGATAACTCATTTTACCTATGTCAAATTTTTATTTGCCATAAATAATTTGTTACATATCTTTTATATGACATGCCATAAGGTCTGAATTTATTAGCCTTTATGGTTTGAAATATTTTCAATTTTTCTTGCTGACCATGGTCACACACTGCTACAAATCTGTGATACTTTGTGCCATGTCCATTTCACACTTGACATTTCTTATCACTTATCAGTTATGAGATAGAAATTTTGTTCACAATTTAAAATTTAGAAAATTTAAGTAAAAGGGAGTTAAATAACCTTCAGTGGAAGCTACAATGAATCACTACACAGTTAAAACCAGATCCAAAGTCCAGTGAGCATGGTCATAAACAACATCAAAATAATCACCTCGTTCAATTTTTAGGCAATCTGTCCTCAGGTAAGCCAAACTGACTTTTCTTTAAAGACATCTGCAGTTTAAATATATTTGGTTACATTAAACATACTTTCAGACAAAAATATTGTAATTTATTTATTAAAACATTAGAAGAGAGCCACCTCTATTTCTGGAAAGTTATAGAGGTAATTTATACATTATAAATACCCTGAGAAGGGGCGCCTGGGTGGCTGAGTTTCTTAAGTGTCTTGACTCTTGATTTCAGCTCAGGTCATGATCTCACAGTTCATGAGTTCGAGCCCTGCATCTGACAGTTCAGACCCTGCTTGGGATTCTCTCTCTGCTTCTCCCCTGCATATGCGCTCTCTCTCAAAATAAATAAACTTAAAAAAATAAATACTATGGGAAAAATCAACATTTAAAATATAAACTTGAACATGAGCCCATGAAAAGTAAACAGGAGACAGTATGTTCAAAGGTTTGGCATCCAGAGCCAAGGAAAATACAATGTGTGATATGTTTGTATTTTTCATTAAGCGAATATATCGATAGTTATCTGCACACACACACATTTTTCCTAGCACTAACCTTAAACAGTAATTCATGACAGTCATAAGCATAGGCAAACAAAGTGCTGTGTCTCTTATACGATCCTGTATTTGGAGGAGAGTGGACGGTGACTGGTATGGTATGTAAGGCAAGATATTTTTTAAATCTTTCTGAAGCACTGATCATTAAACAAACAAACAAACAACAACAAAAAATAGGGGCCTGAGTAGCTCAGTCAGTTAAACATCCGACTCCCACTTAGGTCATGACCTCACGGCTGTGGGTTCGGGCCCGGCGTCCGGCTCTGTGCTGATAGCTCATATTCTGGAACCTGCTTTGGATTCTGTGTCTCCCTTTCTCTCTCTGCCTCCTCCACTCGTGCTCTCTCTTTCAAAAATAAATGTTAAAAAAAAGAGAGATCTCATAAAAAAGAAAAAAATGGGAAGAAGATTTAAAAGAAGCAGTGAGTCACCTGTAGAAGGAATCTCATAAAGTTCCAAAACACTGATAAAGCAAAATGTTCGTGAGCCTAGAGAAGTGCACATCTAAATAGCTTGGAAGTGTTTGCAGCTTCTTTACAGTCTAAAGTATATTTTCACATTGTAGATTATCTACCAAGTTTATTTATTTATTTTGAGAGAGAGAGAGAGAGAGAGCACGAGCAGGGGAGAGGCGGAGGGAGAAGGAGAGAGAATCAGTGCACATTTCATGCGGGGCTTGAACTCACAAACTGTGAGATCAAGATCTGAGCAGAAGGCTTAACAGACTGAGCCCCCCAGCCCCCCACCCCTCCCCACCCCCGCCTCCACCAGCAAAGCATTCCTAAATTGCTGCGTGATAGATTTCTGTGTGGTGGACGTGGAAGAAAAAAAGAGGTAAAGCTTTTAAAGCTGGCAATGGGGAGGCAGAGGTGGCTGGTTCAACATACTGTGTGTGGTATGGGGAGAATAGCTCTTCCAGAGCACGTGGCTATGCCAGACACTGACAGCGTCTCTGAGGTTATAGGCTTGAAGCCTTACAAGAACACACAGGGCACACAGTAAAATCCACCATTTTCCTGGAGGCATGCAAAGGAATGTGTATTTCAGTGTTTCCATTTATTCTTGTTTTCTTCACACCTGACAAGGTGAAGCAAACCAGAAGTGTGGATGGTGATCTTTCCAGTGTGTGGAGAAAATTCTATCCATATACAGCAGGGATCCTCTGCCTGGTTTTATAATTTATTTGGAACACAGCCATGCCCATTTTGTTTACACATTGCCTGTGAATGCTTTCCTGCTACAGTGTTCAAATTGAGTAGTTGAGAGACTAAGAAAACTTAGGCGAAATACTTCATGTTACTGCTACTGAACAGCCTTTTCTGATTCAGGAGTAAAAAAAGAAAAAAGGATTCAGAATTACTTCCTCACTCAGAATGAACACAAGCAGAACAAGTTAGGGAGAAACAAGACGAAAAAGGAGAAATAGAAAAAAGGAGGCGAAAGAAGAAAAAGGAAGAGGGAGGAAGGAGCAGAGGAAGGAGGAGGAGGTGCAGAGGAGAAGAAAGAAAACAATTTAAGAATAGAGATGGGCTCCAAAGTTGACTATTTCTCTAGGTCAGCCATCAAACTGATTTCTGTTGCTTTTTGCGTAAGAGCAGGAAGAGAGGGCACTTTCATAATTATCTTTTCTCTTCTTATCCACTTGTTATTAAAACAAACAAACAAACAATAGGGGCACCTGGATGGTTCAGTGAGTTAAGCTTCCAACTTCAGCTCAGGTCATAATCTCACAGTTTGTGGATTTGAGCCCTGTGGCGGGCTCTGTGCTGACAGCTCAGAGCTTTGAGCCTGCTTTGGATTCTGTGTCTCCCAGTTTCTCTGCTCCTCCACCACTTGCTCTCTCTCTCAAAAATAAATAAAATTAAAGAAAAAAAAGAACATTCATCTTCTTGGTTAATTTCCAAACCTCAGCTATTTTGCTTTTCTCTTAAAATTAATTTCTAAATGAGGACTCCATACCTCATCTTGGCTTGGCCATTATGTAACATGACCTTGCAGGGTTTAATACTCATTACTGTGCTGCTGATTTGCTCAGTTTTCCCAGGATGGTAGGCAGAGTGCACAGCCCACTGAGCATGTTGCCTAGCTTTCACCCACCTTCATAAACTGAAGAAAAACAATTTCAAATATCAAGAATTAGCATTTGTGGTCTTTTTGTTCTCTTGTTTTATGTTGTGTTTATCTAGAAGAGGTTTTGAATAGCTTTTTAAAAAATTTTTGACTTTTTTTTTAAAAAATTATTTTCTGGGGCTCCTGAGTGGGGTGGGTCAGAGAGAGAGGGAGTCACAGACTGAAACAGGCTCCAGGCTCTGAGCTGGCAGTCAGCACAGAGCCCGACGCGGGGCTTAAACCCACGAACCGCGAGATCATGAACTAAGCGAAAGTCGGACGCTTAACCAACTAAGCCACCCAGGCACCCCTAAAAAATTTTATTTTAAAGAAAGAGAGTGGGTGAGAGGGGCAGAGAGAATCTTAAGCAGGCTCCTCGCTCAGTGCAGAACCCATGATTCTGGGATCATGACCCCAGCCAAAATCAAGAATTGGATGCTCAGCTGACTGAGCCACCCAGGCACCCCTTAAAGAGCAATTTTAATTCACTGTTACCTGTTATCTATATTGTAAGTTGTTGAATAATCTAAATTCTCAGGGTTGAAGGGACAGAAGAAGGCATTTAGCTGCAACTGTATTTAAAGAAAAGATCAAGGGAAAGCCAGGTCAAGTTGGTACAAATATGCCACAATTTAAATTCAATAAAGTTGTAGCTCTCACCACAACTCAGATAGGAAGAGATTGGAACTCAGAGAGGTTAAGTGACTTGAACAAGGTTTGCAATTAGTTCATAGTGTGGCTAATTCATTGCTCCCAATTAGGCATTCTCTTTGGTGTGCCCACATCTGGCTATAAGGCACAGTGGATTCATCTGATAATTTAAAAAGTCCTCCCTATCAACTTAACAAAATAGTAGCTATATAGCTCTTTTCTTCCAGTGGGTTATTAATTTAACAAAACACTCAAACCAAATGTAAGCATCAGAGTACGGGTTATAAGATTACCACATTAAAACAAAGCAATTTCACATCCTTTGAAATACAGGTCTTTCTCTAGATTTCCTTTCACATATGGCATATGTGACAGTAAATCTGTCTATTGTAGATGATAAGACGCTTCTGCAGAGTGTGTGCAAGTGGCTGATTTGATGAATGCCCTGAGACTTCTCAGAAAATTCTAATGACATAACCAGGTTTCTCGGGTGTATTTTCTATCTTTGCACTCTTATTTTTGAATTCCTGTTTTTTATAACTCAATTTGTATAGCTTCTCTGGGGATAAAGACAGGAGAGTTCAGAGTCTCGGAGGTTTAATCTGCTATGATGCAAAACCCAACACTAAATGTATGTCCAAATATTGACATTCCAACAATAAAGCACAAAGATATTAAAATATAATCTCGCTGCTTGCCATGGTGTTTTTCTTTCAGTGACTAAATATAAATAACTTTTAAGACTGTAGTGATACATTCAAATCTTATGATAACTATGTAGCTCCTCCTGTTACTGACCCAGGCTTTGAACCATTTTAAAGGGTTTTTCTGGAGCCTCTCCTTTTCAACTGTAAGGAGGTAGAGGGTTTGCTGAGTGCCTGCCCAGGGAGCTTGTCAGCACAGCCCCAGCTTCCTATGGACTCTTATTGTGAACCTGGGCCCACAAACCAGAAACAGGTTAGAATCCTCAGGCCACCTGCAAACCCACTAGGCCAGTAGCCTTGCAGGGGAGGGAGGTGGTAGCAAAAACCATCTCCGTGCTTGGTCTGTGGTTAACCTCCGTCCTCTGCTGCCTGTTGCTGGTTGAGAAGGTACCTCAAGTTGGACCTGGGTTTGTGGGAATCACTTTGAATGAACAGCAAGGCTGCCCGTCCAAGAGACAGCCACATACAGCCATGTGCTTGTCATTTCTGGACTTTATGGTCCCAATGTGTTGTGGGCCATACAGAGCATTCTGGCTACACCTTTAATGGCTCAATGTGCATTTTACTATTTTTATAATGAAAGTAGTTTATCATCAATAAGGGCTGTTCCCATTAACCGTGAACACTGATTAACTATTAAATATATGAATCATAATCAGTCTTCAAAGGGGAAAAATATGGCCATCCTTATTTCATAATTATTAAAAACAAAGAGACGCTAGTATTTATAGGTGATCATTAAGAACATTAGTCTTCATTTTACCATAAAGGTGAGGATACTAGTTTATTCAGAATGCTGCTTGATGGAATATAAGCAGAGCTCGTTTGTTTCTGGAATAGCTTGAAGTTTTAATGTTTTATTTAGTCTCAAAATGAAAAATTTTGAGAAATTACATGTTGGTGAATTAAAATACTTGTTCAATTTTATTTCAGATTTATAGTTGTAAACCCATGGGCTTTTTCCCCATCTATTATGGATGGTAACAAGACACAGCAGTTAGAAAAGATTTCCTTAAGAGAGTGTGGGTGGCTCAGTCAAGTAAATATCTGACTCTTGATTTCTGCTCAGATCATGATTTCATGGTTCCTGAGATCAATCCCTGCATCAGGCTCAAGCTGTCAGCATGCAGCCTGCTTGGGATTCTCTCTCTCCCCCTCTCTATCAAAGTAAGTAAACTTAAAAACAGATTTCCTTAATATAGGATTCCTTTATCTAAAGCTTCTCCCTCAGCCTCACACATACAGTCTCTTTCTCTTATTTTCCCACATAGAACCCCAGTAGTTTATTGTCACCTATAACGTTTCTCTCCTTGCTGTAGTAACCAATATCAAAGATCAAATACACCTAAAAATATGTATACAAAATTGTATACTTTATTAAAACCTTAAAATCTTTTGTCTGGCCATATCCTAAAATTAAGTCCTAAGTTTTGTTATGAATAGATTAGGTCAGACTTTCCACTTCCTTAAAAAATGTGTTATCAGTGCTTTCACGCAAGCATCAAAAAATAGTTAACTTTGATCTAGTGATGCTTTATTTATCCAGAGGAGGAATAAAAGTAACTTCAACTATTTAAACTTCATTTAAGACTAACAACAACTCAGAACTACCACGGCTTCAAACAACTATCACTAAAGCTGCTGAAATTTACTTTTAATGTCTTATTTGTCTTTACGGGCCAAATTTCCAGAAGAAATATTACAATGAGGGGGATGTTTTTAAGTCTGAGCTTCTGCTTTGATAGCCACATGAGATTATTAACACTTGAAATGTGGCTACTGCAACTGAGGAACTAAATTTTAAATATGACCTTATCTTAGCCAATTTCTGTTTAAACGTAAATAACCACATGAGGCTAGTCGCGACCATATTATAACTCATGACATAAATAACACCAATAACATCAAATGACAATCAGCAGTTTGGCAGTAGTGAATTACAGTAAAAACCATACAAAACAAATAAAAGAGTTAAGCACAGAAGTGCAGGGTTATGTAGAATAGGGCAATCACGTTTAACGATTATGATCTCTGAAGGTATCACATATTAGGGAATATTTCAGTAAGTAGTGGTTTACCAGCAATTTCCAAGGTTAAGAGATCAGAATTTTATGATACATTCTGGCAAAAATCCCCTCAGACCTTCCTGGAGCCATGACTACACTGTATATTAACTAACTTAAGAATAAAAAGTAGAAAATAATAAAAAATAAAAAGATTATCTCAGAGTCAAGAAATCCATCTTAGTGTCCCCAAACTCAACCTCACATAGGCAGACAAGTTTGCTTACCTGCCATCACTCCATATGTCGATGGCTGGTTTCCATAATGACAGGAAGGAACAGAATAATGAAGTCCTGTTGCTGTGTTTCCCAACGATGTCACCAAGAAATATGCACACAAACATTTAGGAGTTTGGATCAAAGACAAAATAGATGGGAATGGTAAGAAAATGTATGAGGATTCAAGACACAGTCATTGCGTTGCAACAATACACATTTATGTGATTCTTAAAGTTATATGGCAGTAATTTGTTTTCACTTGGGGGAAATTCTCTGAGTAGGCTAAAAGCAGGAATCAAATTTTGTCTCAGGTAATCAGATTGTAAATCGTCAACATTCCTTAATTATGCTGTGCTCTTGTGAGGGTTGGTCCTGTGCTCTTGTGAGGGTTGACTGACCAGTTTGGACATTGGCCAATTGGAAGTTGCAGAATTCTTGTAGGTTCCATCCAGACATTACAGTAAACTGACTAGAGGAATAATCTCGTATATTTCTTGAATAATATGGTAGTACGTGGTGGTCTTTATCTAAAAGAATGAATACGGAAATCAACTTTTAAACAGTCTTTACTTCTATTTATTCTTCTAACAATTTCTTCCATCATAGAGAAAATGGCTAAGCAACCGATCTCTATTTGGATACAATCATAAAAATCCCACTAAATTCAAATGTTTATGAAAACTCCATGACAATAGATGATGTCTTTATGTTGATGTTGAAATCAAGAAGTTTTCTGAATGCCCACAATTAATGCAACAATTCTAATAATAAAGCTGGTTAAAAAAAATTGATTGTTGAGTGACTTGAGATCTATAAAGGTTGAACCCAGTATATAAACATTACCTCATTCATAAATAGTTTCTTGCCTTGTGGAATCAATGTGTATTATGAAAGTAAATTTGAATTGCTAAACTTTAATCAAACTTTAAAGCATGAATCACCAAGTTAACTAAAAGCATGGGTATTGACAACAAAACCATTCCTATGTATTTCCTTACTTTCCCTTCATATCCTGAACATAGTGATAGGTTTTCATAAATGTAATATGATCATAAATTATTGAATACACATAAGAGATATTATAAAGTTTAGAATTATAATCCTTTGAAAATATTGAGATACAATCCAGTGATTAAAGATACGAGGTCACTTCAGAAAGTAAAACATTTTCTCTTACTATTGATAAATCTTGCAATTTTCATTGTACAGTTGACATGTAGAGAGAATGGAAATAATTTTACATTTTAATATATTATAATGATAAGATATAAAAATCTCACTATGCAATCCAAAATTAAAGAAACATGAAACCCATGTAATACCAAATGCACTTCTCATTATATACAGTATTTCTAGTTCCTTATGTAGTATACTATAATCTGATGGAAAAATTATAAAAGCAAATGCTATTATCATGTATTTAAATATTATTTAGATATCTACTTAGAATAGATATATCTACTATTTAAAATATACAATTAGCTACATGAAAACCATTTAAATTTAATTATAGCACATATTTTTAGTTAAAATACTTTATTATATTTTCCAAAAAATATGTTTGGGAGACTTCCATTACTGCCTTTTTATTTAAATTATGAGAATCTTTGGTAGACGAAAATAAACCCTCGACATTAATAATTTTACCAAATCCAGATATACACTCTCTAGATTTTTAAAAATTCAGCTGCAGATTCATCCCAAAATTACATGTGAAAGAAATTTACTCAATTCAAGACTTTGTCCACTTATAAATCTACTTTAAATACTTTATTACTGCATAAAGAAAGGGCACATTAGCAACACATACCTATTTGCTTGTGAGACAATATATTCAAATTTTCAAGTTTAATTTTAACATAAGAAAGTTCTGTAAAAAAATATTAAAATTTCATTAGAGAGATTGAAATCTCTTCGGAACTCACTTTTGAGAGAGTTTAACTCAGAGTTTAACTCAGGCTCTAAATGTTATATGTTTCTTCTAGTTTTGATTTTTGAGTTTGGAATTATGCTAAAAATATGTTAAAATCATTTAATTATTTAATTCATCGAAATCTATTGTTTTTGGTATTGGGAATCATTCAGTTGTGTTTACTATGAGGTATATAGCTGTTTTGGAACATGGTAAAACCAAATAAATCTTAAAGAAGTAACACCTTTTAAACATTGTTTAGACTATTTGTTTAGTTTTGCTCTTTATCCATAAATGTTTACATAAAAATGATTTTTGGATCAAAAACACCCAGACTCAGTGTTTACTTATGTAGAAAATAGATCTTCTTTATAATAAAACCAACAATTACAATACAATGCTTACTAATAGTTCTTTAAAAATTTCTTAGGTACTTGTCTCCTCAAATGTCCTTAATATTTAACTTAAAGGAGAAAATAAAAAAAGCGAGGAGATTCTAAACTAACAAGATGCAAAGCATCCACCCTGAAATTTTTAGGCCCAGTCACGGGCAGACCAGTATGGGAGTCAGTACCTGTAGACATCACGTTGGTGGCGTGGTTGGAGACCGGGAGGCACTCAGCAGCGCTGTGATGCATTATCAGAGGCAGAGTTGCAGAAGACTCGGAATTCAGAGGTATAAAGGTGTCAGCTGAAGTAAAAGGTTGGCAACTCATTCCCACAAGAGAGTAGAAAAATGAGGAGAACTGCTGCTCCCGAAATCAGAGTTTGATTATATTACTGTTTCAAAGGGCCGTTTCAAATCGCACTACCTGCATATATACATCAGGAAGGCTCTGAAGCAACCAGGAGGGCGCGTGCTGGTATTTATACTGCAGGGAAATCCCTTTCTACATGTTAATCGTCTTTTCCCAGGGGTATTGCTTTATCAATCTGAACCGTTTTCCTCCTCACCCACATATAATCCGTGCCCAAGAGGGAACCTGGGTCTGGGGTACAGATGGATGGAGAGGAAGAAATCTGAAACTTTGACAACTTCAGTAATTCAGACATTTTAGAAAGGAATCAAGAACTTCAAAAATAAGTGTCCCTGAAAGAAATAACCCTAAAATGAATTGAAAAATACTAGGTGTCTTTTTGCTACTACACAATAACAAATGTTTATAGATGAGGGGTGGTTGTTTTTTGTTTTTGTTTTTTTTTGATAACTTATTAGATCTTGAAAATAACATAAAAAATCCATTCTACAGAATTTTAAGAAACTATAAATATTAAAAGTTTAAATCAAAAGGTCCTTGGAAAACTAAATATGAACAAGTATATTGCCCACTACTAACTCAGACGCAACAATGCAATTTTGAAAAACCATGAAAACCAATTTGTACTATAATATAAATGGACAATAGAAAAATACTGAATAAAATTGTAGTACTGTGTAGAGAACATGAACATGAGTGGTAGTATCCTTCCCTTGATTTCTATTTACTAAGAATTAACATTTAGTTAGCCTTTACTAGATGCTGACACCATCCTAGGTACTTTCTACAGATCACATCATGCAAACCTCACATCAGTGGGAGTTATGTATCATACCATCCTCATTATGCTTGACTGTTCCAGAGGCCCTGAGCGTCGCCATTCTGCTCCAGAGCCTGCAGTAACCATGGTAGCACTGGGTGCAAACCTTCCACACAGAAAATACCAACATTAAGTGAGCATTGAAAAAAAAAATGTATACTACAGTTCATACAAAGATAAATATATTAGCATCAAGGACAATGATCATGATTTCTATAAATAAATGAGTGAATGCAATACCATTTTTAGGAAGTATGCTGGGAGAACTATAGCAAATAGAAGTAACCCGAGAGGCATAGATATTACTGACATAAGCAATGACCATGCTTCATAAGACTGTTTTGAAATTTTGTATTATGGAATGCTTCCAGATAATGTGGAATAGGTTGTTTCGTGCTAAATTTCATATTGACAAGAATACTTCTAAAACCTTGCAACATGGACACTTTGGTAGTAACCCATTGATATCTCGTAGGAAAATATAAGGTTACTCAAATCATTAGATACTGCTTGAAAAATATTTATTGTGATAGTGACATATTTTTTCATTCCAAATTCTGAATCTTCGAAGCTCTATTAGTTTTCTCTAAGGAGAGAAAGTTACAGGTAAGCGAAAGTATTCATTTTACTCTTGCAGTGTTTTTTAATTTTTCAGACTACATAAACAAAAAAATAGTTTTTCAATGTATTTATTGGGCAATAACTATTTTAAAGAATAAGCTAGATTTATATCTCTCTAAAATAGAGTCATTGGAATATGCTGATAAACTATACTCACCCCGCGCTGTAAAACCTCCCTGGACGACAACAAAACGCTTTCCCTGAAGTTTACCATGCTATCTAATATTCCACAGTTGCAATCTTAGACAGCAATTCTTTAGCAACAGTTTTAAAGATTTTAACTGTGGTGTGAAATGCAAACCAGAATGCCCCAGTTAAAATTGTATAAAACCAGAAAATAGATGTGTCCACTATGGTCTTCTCACTTAGTTCTACAACTGTAAATTTATCAGTTTTGTAGGCAAATTTAATATTGCTTAATATTGAGTTGTATAGATATCTTACAATGACGTTTCTTTATTGTTCTCTATTTATATCACTTTCTGCTTTTTACCTTTACAAATAACCATGCAATAAATGTTTTTATCCAAAATTTTTTTACACAATCCATTTTCACAATATAATCTGTATTTTACAATATAATCTAAATATCCTCCCATAGGACAGATTTTTAGAAGTGGGATTATTGAGTTTGTCTTATAAGATTTTTGAAGTGCTGATTTGAAGGGTACATGCACCCCAATGTTTATAGCAGTACTATTAATAATAACCAAATTATGGAAAGACCCAAAATGTCCATTGATTGATAAATGCATAAAGAAGAATGGTGTGTGTATGTGTGTGTGTGTGTGTGTGTATGAAATGTAATATATGTGTTATATGTGTATGTGTGTCTAAATATACATACATATATATGTGTATATATACAATGGAATATTACTTGGCAATCAAAAAAGAATGAAATCTTGTCATTTGCAACTATGTGGATGGAACTAAAATGTATCATGCTAAGTGAAATAAGTCAGTCAGAGACAAATATCATATGATTTCACTCCTATGTGGCATTTAAGAAGCAAAACAGATGAAAATAGGGGAAGGGAAGGAAAAAGAGAAAAACAGAGAAGGAGGCAAATGGTAAGAGACTTTTAAATACAGAGAACACACTGGGGGGTGCTTGGGTGGGTGGATGGGCTACACAGGTGATGGGCATTAAGGAGGATGCTTGTTGGGATGAGCACTGGGTGTTATATGTAAGTGATGAATCACTAAATTCTACTAATTTCACTAATAGTGAAACTATTATTACACTATATGTTAACTAACTCGGATTTAAATAAAAAATACATTACAACAATCGAAGATCAGAAATCAAAAGATTTTTAAAGTTCTTAAAACACATTCCCAAATTGCTTTAAAAAACTTCCAATTTTAAAAAATTTTTTAAAAACTTTTTTAAAGAGTAATTTTATGTTCATAGCAAAACTGAGCAGCCAGTATGAGAGTGCGCATGTACTCCCTGCCTCTAAACATGCAGTCCTCTCCATTATCAAAACCACCCACCAGAATGGTATATTTGTTACAAATGATGAATCTACATTGACACAGCATTATTGCCCAAAGTCAGTTAAAGTTCACTATTACATATTCTATGGGTTTTGACAAATGTATAACGACTTGTATCTAGCATTGTTATATTGAGAAAATACAGAATAGTTTCACTGCCTGAAGCCTCCTCTATTCTCTGCCTATTCATTCCTCCCTTCTAACCACTGGTACCACTTACCTTTTTATTGTCTACATTGTTTTGCCTTTTCCAGAATGTCATATAGAATGTACCATTGACATCTTTCACTTAAGTAATATGCATTTAAGATTCCTCCAGGGCTTTCATGACTTGATAGGTCTTTTTTTTTTTTTTTTTTTTTTTTTTAAGCGCTGAATAATATTCCATTGTCTGGATGCACCCGTTGATTTAACCATTCACTTACTGAAGAACATCTTGTTGCTTCCAATCTTGGGGATTATGAGTAAGGCTGCTAAAAGAACTCTATGTAGATTTTCATGCAGACACAAGTAAGAAACTACCAAACTGCCTCCCAAAATGGTTGTACTATTTTGTATTCTCACTAGGAATGTATGAGAGAGAGAGAGAGAGAGAGAGAATTTCTGTTGCTACACATCCTTGTCAACATTTGGTGGTGGTGTTACTATTTTGGGTCTGAGCCATTCAGGTAGGTGTGCAGTGGTATCTCATTATGCTAATTTTTAAAAATTCCATGATAGCATATGATGTTAAACATCTTTTCATATGCTTATTTGCTATCTATATTTCTTCTTTAGTGAGGTGCTTATTCAGATCATTTGTCCGTTTTGAAATTGGGTGTTACTTTTCTTATTGTTGAACTTTAAGTGCTCTTTTTATATTTTCAATCAGATATGTCTTTTGCAAATATTTTCCTCCAGTCTTTGACTTACCTTCCAAATTAATTTTTCAAGCAACTTATTCTATTATTATTTGGTTTCAATTATCAAGAATAAGTTGAGAAAAAAATAGTTGTTTGTTATTAGGAGATGTGGGGTTTCTTGGAACTCACAGAAATCAGGCCATTGAGAGACTGACTAGAAATTGGAAAGCCATCTGCCAAACTCTCTGACTCACCTATCTCCTTTTCTCTGTGTCTCTCATTTTTCTCAATCACTGCAAAACAGCCTGGCTGATTTTCTATCCACAGCCACTTCACAAATCTCCAGATCACACCTTAAGCTCTTTGGTTTTTTTTTAAATGTTTATTTATTTTGAGAGAGAGAAAGCACAAGTTGGAGAGGGGCAGAAAGTGAGGCAGAGAGAGAATTCCAAGAAGATTTTGTGCTTTCCGTGCAGAGTCCCGCACATGGCTCAAACCCACGAATCGTGAGATCGTGGACCTAAAGTGGAAATCAAGAGTCAGATGCCTAACCAACTGAGCCACTCAGTTGCCCCATGACTTAAGCTTTTAGCCAGGCAAGAAGATTAGCTTGCTACTTCTCACTTTATATTCTGATTGGCCATGGCTACAGATGTGTTCTAGAAGTATAACATTGTTCCTGGTACCCACACTTATCAACGGATTGATTTGCACTGGAAGCACTCCATCATTTGTAGACAATAAGGGATAGATTGTTATATGGGAAGACATTCATTAAATGGGACAGATGCTGTTCCACCATTTTACAAAAGCACTAGTAGAGTAAAACTGACAATTTTCTTGCATTTCCAATGTCAATAATAAAGACTAAATACTTAGGCTTTATTAGTCTGTTAATACAATGGCATCTTATTAATAAAATTCACATTTTTGATTGCTAATATACTATCATTTCATATCTATACTAGCTACTTGTACTTATCGTTTTGTTAATTAACCGTGTATTTCACCCTTTTAAAATTTACTTCTTTACTTTTAATGTTTATTCTATAGAGACAGAGACAGAGAAGAAAGAGAGAATCCCAACCAGGCTTCGAGCTGTCAACACAGATTCTGACGTGGGGCTCGAACCACAAACTGTTAAGATCTTGACCAGAGCCAAAATGAAGAGTCGGACACCCGACTGAGCCACCCACA